ATACTGTCAGATGATAACTTAGTGGTCTGAAGGTCAAAAGTCGGCTCGCAAGACTGGAGGTTTTAGATTGAATTTCTGAGCTCGGGGTTTTATACACATGCTATTAAAAAGTGATAAAATAGGATGAGATGGCTGTCAAATACATTCAAGTTTCTTTAACGATGATCTAAGATCAGTCAGTCAGTCAGCTACAACGTAGGACCAGGCATATATATGCATCGGTTCAAGTTGCCATACCTCATTGGCACAGAAAGATGAACACCGGATTCATAGGAGTAGTCAAGTCAATGGTGGTAATATATAAAAGAAGGATTGCATATGAAGATATAGTACAGGAAGAAGGAATTAGTTCGTAGAAAGAAAGATATAAAGTAATTTTAATCTCATAGTTTAAGGGAAGATAGAGAGTGTATACACCTACACCATTGTGATCGATTCTGAGCCATGTCATTTAGTGTCCCTAACCATTGGTTATGACAGTCACGCAGACCCCAACCAAGTATTCTGCATCTACCAACATGGCTCAGACCAGAAGTTAGGGACTTCGAGGACTGATGTCACGTTTTGGTTTGGCCGCCCCAAACTTTCTTTCAACCATCCCCAACACTAGTCAGCATTGCGCGTCCTGGTAATCGGTGTTCAGGCATACGTAACACGTAGCCCAACCATCTCAGTCGATGAAGTTTCACAACCTCATGAACTGATTTACCATCATTTCCTAATACAGTGTATCTAACCTTACTATTACTTACCCGATGATCCCAGAAGATGCGAGCAATATTTCTAAGACAGATCTGTACAAATACTAGTAAATTACAAGTATCTTTGATTCCTAATGGCCATGTTTTGTAATTCAAAAGCTTTAGGGATAATAATTGAGTATTTTAAGTAGAAAAGTTTGTACACGTAACCTAATAGGAAAATATAATAAGATAAGAATCACCCGTAAGAAAGTAGATTTGATTACTTACATTACCATGATTGTTAACATTTGAATACTCCAATGTTTATACATAAATAATTAGATTTCTACTGCATATTGGAAATCGTATTGAACAAAATATCTATGATCAAATATATACAATATGTTACTTGTTATAGATTAATAGACAGAACTGATCTATATTATATTTTGCTTAGCCATACTAGTAGATCCAAATAACTAATTTCCCAAGTACATTTGAAGTATTATATTCACATTAAGTGAGTTAATCAATAACAATTCTCATTATATATATCATAGTAATTTTAATAGTTGATATCATGAGTCAATAGAAGGTATACCACCATGGAAAATCTGGAAGCACTGGATGGCCGTTTTGCCCTATTGTGGGACTTTTCAACAGTGCGCATCCACGATCCCGTTCCCCCGCGAGATTCGAACCCAGGATCTATCAGTCTCGCGTGAGCGCTTAACCACTAAACCACTGAGCTGGCACCCAACAGTTTTAACTTCAAATAATCCACGATGTTTCACCACTACTCATCATAGTCTTCAGTGAGTTACTATCTCATAACAGACCTGTTTGAACTGCACTAGTCACGGCTTCTCACTAGAACTTTAGGAAATACATCTTGAAGTCAGTCACTAGTAAGCATATATTTGACTAATATCCGAAGGGGTTTTGTGGATATTATAACAATTTTAATAGTTGAGATGATGAATCATTTAAAGCTAAACCACCATAGAAAACCTGGAAACACTGGACCTCCGTTTCGTCCTACTGTGGAACTCCTCAGCAGTGCCTATCCATGATCCCAACTCGCGAGATATATGTATTTATATACATACATAAAATGGTATTACTATTTCATTAAAATCTAGCACCCATAAATCAATCATTATTAGAAGGAATCTTTTATTTTCACATAACTAATCGTAATTAACATACACATTCAAGTTGAAAAATGAGATAAAAGAAGAAAGAACAACCGTATTTTTTTTATTCTACACATTGATTACCAGTAGAAAGTTCTTATTAATGGACAAATTATTGAATATTAGATAAATAAGTATAGATAATCAGTTTCATTTTAATGTTTTACAAAACAAAAATGCACAAACATAATACCATGTATAATATGTAGTACACATACACATTCATCTTTTAATTAATAATCTCTAACTGTCTACTCTGACCTGTCATCATTTATGGTCTAGTCTAACCTTGAAAGCTGAACAAGCCACTCCTTATCTTAAACAAGATATATATATATATATATATGTATATAAAGGATTATTTCATTACATCAGTAGGGGTACATATGTATATAATAATATGTAGTGCACCTGTAATTATGTTTCTTATTTTTTTTATTATATTTATTTCATTGTCTGTATCTTCTTTGCATAGCAACCAGCTTTTGATTCAAGAATGATGATGCTTTCGAGATAGTTTCAAGTAGTATACTCGACGCTATTTTTTTTAAAAAAAAAAAGAATTAATGTATATTCTGTCTACCTATAGTCGAACTGTTTACAATACATTGGATAGAGTATCGATGATGGGTGTTACCGCATGTAAACACACTTATACAAACACATATTCACATAAAAGAAAGAATGCCCCCCCCCACCATGTAATCCAAGTAAACGGGGTAAAGTGTAATTGTATATGTCCGATAGTGGTAGTTTTATCGTTGATCGTAAATCGGTGTTTCTTTTTTTTTTAAATTACATTTGTTTAAATAATTAAAAAAAAATTGTTCTTTTGAAAAATGCCGCTTAACTTTAAAAATGCACATTTTACCCATATAAGTGTAGGTGTAAATATTGTGTAGTTTTAATGTTGTCTATTATGATATAATGTGAAGAACACTTAGGCACACCAACAAAAATCAAAACAAAACAAAACAAAAAGTAAAACACGTCACATATATAAGACAAATTAAAAGAAAAGTTATAAAAGACCGGTTAGATACAAAAAAAAAGTGTAAAACAGCAGGATAGACAAGCGGAACTATGCAGATTTTTTTTTTGGAGAAAAAAAATGCAAATATATAAACACATAATAAACTACAAATTATTCAGTAGTATTCATTTTCATCCACCCCGCACCACCACCCACCCACCCCTGCACACACGCACCACCATCAACCGTCTAATGAATTATGTTTATAAAATGTATTTCTATATTATCTATTTTATTAAACTGATTATTAGATGCAATGAACATGAATTAAAACGGTCGGGGGGGGGGTAAACATACAGTAGTTTTATGATTGTTTATTCTTACTAAGCAATTTATGAATGAATTTCACGAATAGGAATTTGTAATGAAAATGGTAAAATATGGTAAGGGTTATATAGTAAATATTTTTAAATTACAATTGTATATTGGTGAATGATTTCGATTGTAAAGTATTATTTACTTACTTACTTGCTTATTATTTTACGCCTGCTACTCCTCGTGATGGAGCATAGGCCGCTCACCAGCATCCTCCATCCAACCCTGTCCTGAGCAATCCTTTCCAACTCTTTCCAGTTGTTATTCATCCTTTTCATATCTGTTTCTATTTCCCGACATAATGTATTCTTTGACCAGATTGTAAAATATGATGAATAATAAATATAAATACGCTTAACTAGCCAAATTATACCACAAAGAAAAGGAAAAAAAAACAGACAAACAGAGAATGACTACTTCTGTGTTAGTATTGCAATGAACGAGAACACAAATAGGAACAGTCGAGTGTATTTGAAAACAAAATTACAGAACATCTTAGTAAAATCTGAGAACCATACACTAAATACTTCATTTGCAAAATGTCAATCAATTGTCTCAAACTTGACTGTTTCTTTTGCAAATATCAGTCAGTCGTCTTAAACTATAATGTTCTTACATTTTCATACTAATTACTTTCTGTCCCCGTTCTTTTCTTAGCGATCTTCTGCTACTAGATATTCTATTTCTGACTATGGTTATATACTACTTATGTCGATATAAGTTGCACACACCACACTATATCTAATACGTCATACAAGTAGTTATTCAGACAATAAAACGATTATTAAGTGAGCGATTCGGAACGTTCGGTTGTTTTTTCTCCTGAAACTCGATGACTTGAGGTATTTACTAATCATTTGGTTTGATTCTTCTACTGACATGTGGTTTTGTGTGTTTGTGTGTGTGTTATTTATCAGTTTAGTATAATAATTAGATGTTGGTAAGATACTATCCTATAGTAATTATGAAACTATTTTTATACAAACCTTATGCTTATCATGAGGAGACAACAATAAAACACCTAGCAACAAGTATTTATTTAATAATTTATGTATAAATGAATCAATCAGTTCACAAAAATACTCGAGAAAGTTTAATTTAAAAAAAAAAAGAAAGACCTTATGAATTGAAACTCCTTAATTGCATCTTCGTTGAGCTTATGTAAATAATAAAGCAATGAATATCAAATACTTACATCATTATATAATTGGTTAGCTGAGTATATTGTCAGAATGATTTTTTGTTAACTACTGATTAAATCTAGTAGTATATTTACTTTCATACAATTATTGTTGACTGAGCCAGTTCATATGATCTTATCTAAGAAAAACATTGACCATACAATATGGAATATTGAATCTCTTTCTTTCCGATAGGACTTTATATTTAGTTTAAATCATCTAAATCTGTGAAAGTTAACTGAATTACATTGAACGGTTAATAGATGTTCTGATATTTTTATTATTCTCCTATTGTGTTGTAATTTCAACTAATATATCATTTAATAATTGACTTCATGAGTTTATTAAAGCTAGATCACCATAGAAAACCTGGAATCAGTGGATAGGAATAATATAATTGGATTTTGGTTCAGTGATTTACAGGTGAAGCATTCTCATCGAAAACTGAATCTTCTGAGTTCGAGTCTCGAACATAAGGTTGTAGATGTGCACAATTGAGAAGTCACATAGTAAGTTGAAACAGCCATCCAGTGCTTAATAATCTTCACAACTCTATACTGATAATTTTCTATTTTTACTCTTTTTTTTTTAGATATTAGAAAATCATTAGCAGTTTTATATTAAACATAAACCAATATGTGGATATTTATCATATACTACTAATGTTAAGAAAAGCTATTGATTCAATGTTAATTTTATTACGGCTTGATGAGAGAAAAGATTATTATAATTCAATATCTTCAAATTGGTTATGGAATTCTACATTTGTAGATAATTCTTTTCCTATCAATACTACCACTAATCCTACTAATCCTAATACTACTACTACTACTACTACTAATCCTACTACTAACATTCATATAAGTAGTATAAATAGCAATATGAATAGTGATAACCTAATAACAACACCATTATTAGCAGATTCTAACGAATTATCATATAGAAACAATAACAATAATAATAACAATAATAATCATAAAGTAAATCGTGCAAAATCAATACCAAATCGTTATTCCATGATGAATTATACAAATATCAATCATAATAAAAAATCAAAACGTAATGACAAAAGAATTAAACGAAAAAATCAATTCAATCATATACGTTTACATAGTTATGATGAAAATATAAAAAATGATCTCAATGATTTATCGTATTATGAAGATGGTGAATTTGGTACAGATATAACATATTTACCATTAAGTGAATTTAATCATTCTATTGATCAATTCAAGATTATGAATAAGACGACATTAGTCAGTAAAACTACTACTACTACTACGTCGACGACGATGGCGATGACATCGACGGCGACGAAGTCGACTACTACTACTACTACTAATACTGCTTATAATAATAATACAGAAACTACTAGATTAACTGTAAAGGGAGTAGGTAGAAAGGATCACTTTAATTTCCCATCATTACCAATATTGTTACATCCACCATCACAAAGAGCACAACAAAGTTTAGAATCATCATCAACAATACAGTTACCATCTCTATCATCATCCTCATCATCATCATCTCCATCCTCCTCCTCCTCCACCTCCTCATCCTCCTCCTCATCATCATCATCACCATCATCGTCATCCTCATCATCAGATTCAATAAAACAAATAACTAATTCAAATCGATTAATAAACAATAATTCTAATTTAATATTTAATAATGTAAATAAAAATAAAATGAATAATTTTCATTTATTCATTGATTTACATGATAGAAATGATAAACAATTAAATAAACAAACATTACAAAATGATCCTTTCCAAGGTCAACAAGATTTAGCCTTGACAACACAAACAAATTTCAAATTATTAATCCCTAATATAAAAATAACAGAAAACAATCATAATCATAGTCATAATAATCATAATCATATATTCAATGAAGGTATAACAGATTGTATAAAATTGAATAATGTAAGTTATATTGAAATGAAGTGTATATGTGTATAGTTAGTTTCTAATGTGTATCTTATAGTGTAATTTTATAAATTGTAGCTTTAGGTATGATTTTGTGAAAAATCTAACAACTTGAAGTGATTTTGTGATGTGTGCGTGTGCGTGTACTACTTATATCGATATAAGTAGTATATAAATATGAGGTAGAAATAGAATGTCTGGTCGAAGAAGATTGAAAAGATCAAAAAACGGAAGAATGGGAATAAAACGTAATTAAGTGGGAAATGAAGGAACAATAAAGTATAAGACAATTAATCAACAGTTTGCAAGTTATGTATTAGAGAAATTTTTTTTCTATTTCTATCAATATAGTGATGCATGGAGGAGAGCTGATAGATGTATTTCAAGTGATGAACAAAGTCTGGAACTGTTGTTTGTCGTATATATATGTATGACATGTCATGAAATGATTTCTAACTCAGCTATCGTCATAATTTCGATTGAATGCGAGAGTTTAGCTGTCCTGGATCTGACTCCAGTTAGATTGTATGAATGATTGCTGTCGAAATATATAGATCGTCTATCCTCATATAAAATCATCGAATTAAATCACGTTATAGTGTATAACAGAATTATATAAGTCAAATACGAGAATAGATGTTTGAATACTTATAATTTGTACACTACTTGATCCGAACACACAATCAGAAGTACGAAGTGAAGAGAAAAAAAGTGAAGTGAAATGACACTCAGTGGAGAAGACGAGTGAGCCAACTCAGTTTAATCAAGAGTTAATCGATATTCGTAGTCACACAAAAATAAGTCACAGATATGCGATGAATGGGGTAAGAAGTGCACTTACACATACGCTCATATAAAAGCAGTCAAGATTGATAGATGAATAATTAACAAGGTGACAACGTGATTCAAGCAGAATGAATAAATTGGCCTGTCCATAAACTAGAATACGCTGTGTCGGTTTAACATATAAACTGACACTACAGGAGGATAGATAATCATACCCTTCGATAACTAAATAATTGATTGAATAAAGTCATTAAAATGAAATAACAACAGCTTTTTAAAGTATTTACATAGCAATTATTCATCTGATATATGTTTTGTTCACAGAATGTGCTCATCAGCTGACAAATTCTATCTTTGTTGTATATCTATAGGAAAGAATTGGTTATTATCTTCAACTTACATTATTAATTAACCATAATTGACTATTAATTTCAGAAATCATTTGGAAACTTATTATTCTTACTAGTCTAATCAAGTTACTCCCTCTCCTTATGTTATAATTAACTAATGTAAACATTTAAAATGTAAGTCTATAGTTGTTCTTATTAATGATAACAAGAAATTATGTAATTATATCTCTTATTTATATTAGAAGGGTTTTCGTAGATATTTCAATGGTTGAGATCATGAGTTCATTGAAGCTAGACCACCGTGGAAAACCTGCAAACATTGGACGACGATTTCGTCCTATTGTAGGACACCTTAGCAGGATCTATCAGTCTCGCATACAAGCTCTTAACCACTAGACCAGCGAGCCAGCATCCAATGGCGTTAATGTGTAACTTCAACTAATTCACGAAATTAAGCGACGCATCCATCATTTTCTTCAATGTGTTACTAACTCAGGAATCTCGTGAAGTGGAATCATGGATACGTACTGCTGAGGAGTCCCATAATAAAGCCCAACGACCATTCCACGTTCTCCATTATAGTCATGCTTCAATTGACTCATGATCTCAACCATTGAAATTTCTTATTTATATACTATAAACTCTGTTTATCTTTACATTTTATAGCCTCAAAAAGCAACATATCGAACTCCAGTCACTTATACTTCAGATAATAATGACATAATATTAATAAACAATGAAAATCTACAAAATAATCCCATAGCAACAACAACGACAACCACAACAACGACGACGACTACTACTATTAATTCATTAATCAATAATTATTTCTTACCAAAACCATATACATCAAATATTCATTTTAATACAAGTCGTTCAAATAGTGGTCAAACATTAATTGATCAAAATATTGAACCAAAACATGATTATCATCGATCTAAATTAAATAAATTAAAAAAATCAATAAAACGAAAACATCGATCTAATTCATTTATGTATCATCAATCAATGAAATCAATATCGTCATCAACATCGTCATCATCATCATCATCATCATTATCATTATTATCCTCATCATCTAATTTATGTTTTATTAATTCATTAAATCATTGGTCAAAATATCAATATCAAAAACATTGGTCATTTACATTTTATGATTTTGAAAATGAACAAAATTTAAATGAGGTTAGTTAGTTAGTTGCTAAGTGACTAATAGATTATAATAAATAAGTTAAGTCACCATGGAATATCTGGAAGCACTGGATAATCGTCTTGTTGTAATATGGGACCCTCCGAGACCCATCTCATAAGATCTGGACCCAGGAACATCGGTCTTGTAAGAGAACGTTTAATGTGTAAATCACTGAGCCAGCATCTAATGATGTTAATGTCTAACTTCAACCAATTCACGAAATTGCCCTACTATGTGTCACCGTATTTATAATAAATGTAATTTTTATTAGAATAGGGTTTCGTGAATGATAAATTTTATGGATTAAACGTTACTTGTTATATCTGGTCGTCGTTGATTGTCCCGTCGGAAATGTTTATCATATGTAATCGAAACGAGGGATTTCTGCAAATTCCCGCGATAAGAAAGTAAGAACACAAAGACTAGTATAAGTGAAGATTTATTAATCCCCAAAACACCATGACAACGACCCTACACATATTTATATGTTGATTGTACACACACTTTGATGAAATCTTATATATTACAAATACTTATAGTTATAACAAATCACGTGCTGAGCATAGGTCATGTTCATTGAATACAAGAATATCGTATATTATAGAGAATAAAATATCATACAGGGAAACAAAATTGAATGCTACACTGAATAATCATCACATTGAATCAAAACGAGAGAGTAATGTTCAATAAAAATCATAATAAGTAAACCAATCTGATTTCGAATTTTCTTCCCATTATATCACCTCCCCTTCTTTTTTTTTTTTGGAGACTCAAAGTTTGGATCCTGACTTGAACTTTTCTGACTTCATCCTCCACCCCCTAGGAAATAATGTTAAGTCTTCATATCCCCATGTTACAATTAATGTGACTTTACATAAAACATATTTCTCGCATTGAATAGAGTGTCTCCCATAATAGGCTATTGCTGATGGTATTCAATCAGTGAATATTGAGTATCTTGTGTAGACAATTGTTAAGAAATACTTGTAATTCTTTGATGTTGATTGTGGTAGTTCTCAAATTTTCAGCTCCATATAGTATAACTAACTGTCTTAATGTTCCTATTGAAGATTGTAACTTTGATATTGGTTGACAGTTGTTTTGAGTTCCATATGTTGTTTAATAATAAGAATGAGGCCTTTACTTTCCTAATCCTCGCCTTTACATGTATATCAAATCCTCCAATCTATATTGCACTAAATGACACCACATTTTGTTAGTTTGCATTTAATTTCGGTTGTTTAAAAGTCTTTAAAAGAGACATACTTCATCTAGATTTCATTATCATTATCATTAATGAATCAACAATTCATAATCTAGTATTGAGTTCATAAATTCGAGTACAAAAGATTCCTACATTTTCATCTGTTAATCACTTAGAGTGATAACAACTGAAATTTCGTTGTCAGTAAAATGTTAGGTTAAAAAATGAGCTACGAAATGTATCATTCAATACAATTTCAATAATCCCCATAAGAACAATTCTTTTATGCCTATTATTATTTATCAATACCATAGTTACAAAAATATCTGTATTTATAGTTAAACTACTTATTTAATTATTCAGTAGTTAATCTTATTATAAGAAATATATTAGAGGTTTGTCTATCATTTTTCATTTATATTCATTAATTTAGGATGATACTGCATTAGTACATTCAGTTTTTGCTGTTGTAGCAGCTCGTCTACGACAAAAACACAATGGTTCAAAAGGTATTATTAAAAAAATATCAGAATATGAAAAATTAGATCAAGAACACAATGATAATGGTAATAATAATAATAGAAATAACCATGAAAGTAAATCAAAATCACATCAAACCAATAAACAAATACATCAACATATTAAATTAGCTAGTTATACATCAAATAATATTACTAAACAATCTAAATCTAAATTAATTAATCATAAAGATGAACAACAATCATGGCATTTATGTATTAAATGGAATCCAAATAATTTAACAAATCAATCAACATTGAATTCTATCCATGTACATGATTCAAATCAAAATCATTCCAATAAAACTAAACATCAAATTCAATTAAATAAAACACATATCCTTGCTACATTAGGTACAGTAATAGATAAAACATCATTATGGAATAATAATTCAATTGATTCATTAATATCATTAAATATTCATAGATTAAATCAAATAGATAAACATCAATATAAACAATTAAAATATCAAAATTATACACAAAAAAATCATGGTTTATCACAATGTAAAAATGATTCTCATCAAAAATCAATAATTTGTTCCGTTTGTCAACATTTAATGAGTAATAATTCTAAAGATCATCTTCTACCATATTTATATAATAATCAATTTACAATAACTGATCAATTTATTAATGAATCAAAATTTAAAAATCAATATAAGAAATCAATTAATTCAAATCATAATATTGATTATTATCCTTATCATGATTATTTAAAATATGATTTAATAAAATGTAATAAAAAGAAATCTAAACGAAATAATTGTTATATAATACCTAATCATTATAATCCTATACAATATAATAATAATGATGATAATGATGATAATGATGATGATCATTATGGTTCCAGACAAATTTCAAAAAATATTGATCATAATCATAATCATGATCATGATCATAATTATGATCCATGTAAATATCGATCAAAATTAATGATGAATTCATTAGATCAAACAAATTCTACGAATATGTTACATTGTCAACATTGTTTATTTAAAATGAATAAAGGATATATTAAACAAAGATATTGGAATAGACATTGTAATACTAATAATACTAATACTAATACTACTACTACTACTAATAATAATAATAATAATTCTGTAAATGACAATTCAACTTCATCTATGTTATGTTGTAATCATTGTAAACAATGGTTTATTCCATTATGGAATCAAATACATTATTATTCAAGAAATAAACGAACTATTTCAAAAGATGATCATTTAACGTAAGTTAATCGGTTTATTTTTTTTTAAAGATATCATTCATTGATGGATACATAATATCGATCTAAATATTGATACAAAGGGGCACTGAATACGTATGTGCCACATAAGTCACTTGATTTGTGTGTGTGTGTGTGTGTGTGTGTGTGTGTGGGCTGTGATACTGTCCGAGTGCCCATACTGAAACAGGTGGTTCAATTAGGGGGGGGGGCACACCCGGAGATTTTGACCTGAAGGTCTAATCCACAAAGCAATGGAACAACGTCAGGAGATGCAGTCCCACGGTAGTCGGTGACCAACTGAGCCCATGTACACCATTGGTTTGGAAACAGGTTTTCTAACTCCCCTAGGTAGATCCTCTGTTTCCACCAACCTGTTTAAAGTGAAAGATATTTACATTTTGTTCTTTCAATTTCCTAAACAACACCCCTGGTACGAAAAAGTAGTTAGTAGGACTTCCCTGGCAGTGTTTATATACGAGTGGTCATGTGTGTTGAGATGGCCACCGAGAAGCCACCCACGTACATAGTCGATTGATTAAGTTATCGATTAACTTATCGATCAGATGTTAAATATTTGAATAGCAGTCAATTGACGAACTTATTGATGAATGTTTAAAAATTTTAATGACAATATTGATTATATATAATTTTGTATAAATACGCATGTTTTATTGTATATTTTGATTCTTGTCAATAAGTGCTCACAAACGTCTTTCGTCTTCTTACTTGCGAGCGGTTGGAGGTTATAACGTTCGAATGTCATCCGTTATATAGAGTGTTCGTGCGTATTCAAGTAGAGAACTTAACAATGTGAGAGCATTTGGAGAGCGGGAGCTGACTCTTCCCACTCTTGGCCGTACCAGGGAATTTGGGTACTCATTGTATGATTCATACGTTAATAATCATCAGAATATGCGCTTACGATTTGATTAACATTGTCTCCGGCAATAAACAATTCACAATGAAAAATCATTCAAACAATAAATTATCATTCTTCAATATATTGATCAACAAAATCAACACAACAAAATCAAATATTCAATTGTGTCTAAATTCAAGCTACATAGATGATATTCCAAAACTACAACAGCTACTTGCTAGGGGTCAGCATGATTAGTGAATAAAGATGATAGATGATATAGCTCTTAATAGATTTCAGTGGCACATATGCATTCATTGATTATCGCTCTGTAGATTTGAAGGTTCAGTGTTCCTTCTTACCTACAGATTCATGTTTTCGCGAACTATGTTCTCAGTATTTAGTCTTTCTTACTATGATTAGTACTATGGTTTTTTTCAAATCATTCATTAGTGTTAACTCGTTATGTTGATTTGATAAGTCAACTTGAGCTAATACACTGAGAAGTATGTTAATGATAACTGACTAGTTATAAAAATCAACTATCGATCAGACTTGTTATTAGTTATAAACAAATGAAAATCATTTGGTGTCGTTTAATCTAATCTTCTCGTTGATGTTTAGGACTGAAATTGATCAATCTGTTATTGGTGTATATGCACATATGGAAAGATTATAGTGAGCAATACCAAGTGAATTTAAACTTTACCCCATTTTACAAGCAAATGAATATCAGGACTCAGTAGCTATGTGGATAATGTGGTAGTGTTTGAAGTGAAAGTTACTGGGTTCGAGTCCCATGGGGAATTTCAACTCTGAGATGCAAGTACATCCAACTGACGTGTCCTAACTAGGACGGAAAGCACGTCCTGGATTCCACTGCTAGTCACTAATCTAATGGTTAACCTTCATAAAGTCAGTTCAGTTTTATGGGTCGTTGTTGATTTACACAGTTGAAAAGTTTCACACTAAGGAGAAATATTCGGTTTCCTATCTTCCACTCATTTATTATTCAGATAATCCTGGTCAGCAACATAAACTATTTTCCAACTGACCTAAACGTACGGTTAATATCAATCATTAACCATTTAAAACTGAGCAGCACTGTACAGATGTACCATCCTAGCATAAAACCTCTCAGTATTGAGGATTCAGGATCTTACCGCGGGTCGAAAAGAGGACCTTCATATCTTGAAGCGGGAGTCTGACCTTAAGATCATTCATTTAGCATTTTCTGGTTTTCATTTCTAACTCCAATCAATTCGCCGTACTGAACAACCATCATCCACTGTTATCCGAATGTATATACCTCATATTCGACAATAGTGAGACTTCACTGATCATGACTTCTCAAAACAACTCTAGCGGTTATCTCTCAACATTAGTCATTAATAAGTATATGATTGTTAATAATGTAAAATTAATTAACCAATCTCCATGAGCTAAACAATCATAATTCTTGATCTATTCACTCTTTTTTTCAGCCATAGATCTTATAACCACCACTATTATCATCGTTCATCAAGTCAACCACAAACTAAACATGAAAGAATAATTCAAAATCATTTATCTAAAAATCATCGATGTAACCATAACGATGGGTACAGGACATCTTTAGAGCAAACATTTATGAATAATAATATGAATAACATTCAATGTTCAAATATACAACATCAAATACAATTAAATCAACAATCAAATAAAAGACAGTCAAAATACCGACATAAACGTACTAAACGACGTGCTAAATCCTACTTACCTATTCATCGTTTACTTTCAAATGATATAAACAATCAAGTAAATGATTCATCAGCCAAATTGAATCATTATAGGTTGGAATCCTACAAATCTCACAAAGAAATAGATCATCAATTGATTATGAATAAAAATGATAAATTCATGGTAGATCCTTTACTTGATCCTAATCAACGTTTGATCCAGTTAAAACAGGATCATAAATTTAAACGTTATAATCGGAAATATTTAGGACAATTAAATGTTCAAGAATGGTTAAATAAAACATTAACAAACAATTATTAATCGAATAAAATAAATAGAATTCTAATCATTGATTAAAAAAAATAATAACAATATAATTTTTCCATTGTAATATAACGATGGATACTTTGCTGAAAAAATTACGTTATAATTTACATACTACTAAATATACATTGTAAGTAGTATATATTTTTTAATGAAAATGTTTTTGAGGCATTAGGTATAATAGGTGGCATCTATTATTGAGAATTGAAGTTTACATTGTTTCAAGATTTCATTTTATGTATATATTGATAGATATTGTAAGTTTAAAAGCATTAAAAAGTATTCAGATCATGAATCGATCAAGGTTAGACTATCGATGAGAACCTAGAAGCAATGGATGGCTGTTTCGTCTTGGTATGAGACTCCACAGCAGTGCTCACCCACGATCTCGAATGCGAAATTTGAATTGATGACCCTCGGTTTCGCGTGCGAACGTCTAGCCTATAGACCACTGAGCCGACCGTCATCCAACGGTGTCAATATCTAACATCAACCAACCCACGAAATTGTGTGACCTTATTCCATTGTACTGAGGTAGATACCTGTCTCTACCTGGCACGGATTCCGCGAGGCGGGATCGTGGATGTGCACTAATGAGGAATCACGCAATAGGATGAAACATCCGTCCAGTGCTTTTAAGTTTTCAATGATGGTCTAACATCAATCGGTTCATGATCTCAATTTTTCTATATAGATAAGAAAATTAAGAATTTATTGCTAAAACGTGATAAAACTCACATGTACATAGTAATTTAATGCAGATAGGTTTTTCAAGGTTTCCATTATCTTAAGGGGAACCATTCTCACTATGAAACTACAACGATTAGAACAAAATTGTGTTGTATCGGTTAGTGCCTGATTACGTTGGCTTAATATTCATGACAACAACCAATTACTTGAGTAACAATGAAACTTTGTATTTTCCAGCTGAATTGACAGATAACTGTAGATTCATCCAATATTTAACCCTCGGAAATTTAAATTATATTCTTAAATCAATGAAATGTCTTATTGGTTAGAAAAGCATGGCATATCTTGGTCGACTATGCGGACTTATCATTTGCCAGATGTCCGATTGGTCCAGTATCAATAAGTATACATTTGGGTTTTTTATCCAGTTACAAAAACTTTCATAAACAACATCATAGTTCTCTCGATACTTCCCTACACTTACTGAAAGTTTAATATGACTATGAGGTAACCATTTGAGAATCATGTAAATGAAATTTTTGGCTGACTGATAGCAACTTTTGTATCTCTCTACTTTTAAATCTCATGTATCATAGTCATACATCAGAAAAGAGAACGTCATTACACGATCCCCTCTAATAACAATCATGGTGTTATAGAAACTTCCAAGCTTTCACTCTTTAATGCTGTCACAAGGACTTGTCTTGCAACATACTGTTTATTAGCTCGTCTAGGTTTATGCTCTAGATGAACTAAAAAGCAACATATGAGGGAAACTAGTACTAAAATATAATTCATCAGTACGATGGTAACGACTAGCATAAGACTCTTCAAAAGTGTGCACCCAAGATCCTGCAAGCGGGAACCGGACCTAGAATCTCCGGTCTCTCACGCGAACGCTTAACCTCTAGACCACTGAGTGGGCATCCAAAGGTGTTACTGTTTAACTATATTCAACCTACGACATTGTGCGACGATCTTGCATTGTCTCCGTTTGTTAACTGCCTCACATCCGACATGGATTAGCTCGACTGGTCACGGCTTCTCACTGGAAACCCAAAAATGTTCTATCGAATCTAGTCACTAATGAGCACAATGCCTCCAGGTTTTCAATGGTGTTTTAACTTAGATGAGTTCATGATTTTAATAAAATTACTAGCGCTATTTCATTTTTCAATACCTGAGGTGTGGGTTAGATGTTCACCTCTCTCATTATTATTGCCACTACATTATCTCAACCCCTTTACTGTTCATCTTGTCGATTTCGTCTCATCGTTCCAATGTAGTATGGAAACCCAACCTAACGCACAACTGTGCCTGCTAAAACCAGAACCAACTCTTGCTATTCAAACACGAAATGCTCACTGTCACTTTAGTCGCTCACGGTATAACTATTTACTAAGGAACTTTCTGAATGAAGAAGCAGAGCAACAACCAATCTGCCATCCAATGAAATTGAGATAGATCTGTACAAGTTAAAATCTGAAGTAAAAGTTTTGCCAGATAACAGCTACAAATAACTAATTTACATCAGTCTTTTCAAGTTATATATAGGAATGTTTTTTAACACTGCTGGAGTTAAAGATAGATCATCATATTCTGCTCATAAAAAGTATTGTTTCCCTATATAGCTATGAAATCTGGTTGGCGTTTTTTTAGCAAGATTTCTTCTACGGAATTGGGTTGCAGATCCCATGCCTGACTAGGACTTGGGACTGTAGAAAAGCTACAGGCGGAGAAAACAGACGCGGCTAAACTTGATGGAAAAGCTCTGGAAGATGTGGAAACTTTCACATTGATAAACAAGGAGGATCCGATGCAGATGTAAAGGAAAGGATTGGCAAAGCAAAGTCTGCATTCTTACAGTTGAAGAACATATGGAACTTAAAACAACTGTCAACCAATATCAAATTGAAAATCTTCAATACGAACGTCAAGACAATTATTTATTCTCTGAAGAAGTGACTTACACTAAGCCACGAAACGTCAGAAAATCTAATTTTCTACTCATTGGGATATTACAAATATATTATTTATTTGTCAAGACAATTAGTTATATTGTACGAGCTAGAACTTGGAGAACTACCACAACCATCATCAAAGAAGTATAAGTATTTATAAACAATTTTCTACACAAAACACACAGTATCCGTCGACCTGATACCATCAACAACAGCGTACTGTGAGAAAGAACTAAGCAACTTCTAGTCAAGGAGGAAATTAGGAAAAGACGGTGAAAGTGGATAAGATATACGTTGTGAAAATCGCCTAAATGCATCGCAAAGCAAGCCCTAAATTGGAATCCTGAAGAGAAACGGGAACGAGGAAGGCTTAAAGACACACTAAGTCGAGAAGTGAAAGCAGACATCAAAAGGATGAACAGTAACTGGAAACAATTAGAAAGGACTGCATAGGACAGGAGTATATAGAAAGTGCTGGTGGGCGGCCTATGTTCTTTAATGTCAGGTAACAGGTATAAGCAATTTAGTACAACTATGAAATTATCACTCCCTCCTGTTCACAACTTTTTATAAAAAGTTTTCAAAACACCACTGAATTCATTTTGAAATTATCTTTGAAAAAAAATGTTAGCTATGACCTTACAGGCCTAATGACAATGCTTTGTACTGTGATACTTGATAACACAAACTCAAACCACCTAAATGGTATCGGTCCCATCAGAATTCCAAAAATCTAAGTCAATCACTTTCCACTATATCAAGTAAATAGTTTACAGCTAGATCAATTCACTTGGTAGGCAAAATTCTAATAGTATAGTGTATGCTACTGATGTCAACAGATATAAGTAGTATGCACCATCAGTCGAAAACCAAATACTTGGTGAAACATAAGGTTAAAACGATCGAAGAAAAGAGAACGAGAACAAAGAATAATTGCGGTGGAAAAAAGAAAGAACCATGACGTCTGAGACGATTGATTGACATTTCGTAAATGAACTATTCACTGTATAATTCACAGATTTTACAAAGAGATTCTATAATGTTGTACTTAAATACATTCGATTGTCCCCATTCGCGTGTTCTCGTTAACCGCAATAGCACTGAATACAAGAAAGACAATATGACAATTATTCCTAATTACAAAACGAATATAATGAAATTAAAGTCTTTTTTTTAATATTAAGTATCATGTTATGAAGGCAATAACTGAATAGGAATAGAAGTAAATCATCAGGTCCATTGTTTGTACATCATCGATAATAATAATAATAATAAATTGTTAGCATTCACAGATCAATATGGGAAATGGTGATAATCCAAGGAACTATCATATGAATTGATTTTGTTTAATACAAACTTTATTGAAGTAACAAAATATTGATACCAAATTGTAATAAACTACTTATATTTTTATGTATGTGATAGCATATGTCTAGTTAAATGATGTTTTTCTTTAAATTGTTCACCACATAAAGAACAAATTGGTCTATTTAGTGTTGAACAATAAGATGGTACTGTTGTTGTTGTTGTTGTCACCGTCGTCATCGTTGTCGTCACTGTTGTTATTGTGATTTGTGGTGATGTTCTAATTGTTGTCAATGATGATAAAGATGATATGGATGATTGACAATTAGAATATAATAAACCCTTTTCATTATTATTATTATTATTAATATTATCATTTTCTTTGTTTAATTGTTTTCTCTTATTGATTAAATCAGTTGTATGCATTGTTTTATGATGTGATCCTAAACGATCTTTTACATTAGGATATTTACTGCCTTGATTATGACATGTACGCATATGATGTACTAAATCACTAGTTAAACGAAATGTAATAAAACAACGTGCACACCAATTTTGTGCTAATGATAAACTACTTATTAACGGTGATGATGGTGATGATGATGTTGTTGTTGTCGTTGTCATTGTCGTCGATGATGATGACGATGATGATGATATTGGCTTCTTTAATGATAATGTCATATTCGAAATTATAGTGGTTGAATTATTTTCAACATTTGAATCTATTTTATGTGACATGATTGTTTGTAATAATTGTTCAACTAATGGATTACGAGATTTTAATGGTAATAATGTAGTTTTTAATTTAGATTTTTTATTATATAAATTATTACTACTATTATCTATATAAGTAGTTTGTTTTAATGTTTTAAAAGTTTTGGTAATTTTATTATTAGATTGAATTCTATGTAAATATTTTCTATGTAATGAATTGAAATTTTTCATAGATGTTAATTCATTAATTTTTCCAATATTTCCCACTTTCTGTAATTGATTCTCTATTTTATTGGATCTAGTTTCAATAGTTAATTGAGTATCATTATCATTATGATCATCATTATCATCATCATTATAATCATCATTTTCCATTGTGTTATTCTCAAGATGATCTAATTTGTTCTGATTGAATGGTGTATTCATATTGTTACGTAATAATAAATCGATATTTTGT